TTTTTACTCCAAACTCACTTCATAACGTCAGTCGAGTGTTTGAAATAAAACGTCAGTCGAGTGTTTGAAATAAATCCTTCTGTGAGATGATGTGGCTTCTTACACAGAATAAGGCACGCAACATATTTCATAGTATTTAAGCAGTGATAAAGGCATTGCATTATAAATATACTTTATTTTATTGAAAATTATAATAATAAGAACTCAGATAAACCGTATATTGCCGTAGTCGTGTGTTTATTAGTCACGTTGAAATCAATGAAAGCAGTTGAATCTTCTGTTTATTCAGCTGCAGTGATAGGCATTTTCTGGGTTTCTTCTGCGAGGCGTATTTGGAGTTTCAGCGCGAGAGCGCCCTCTGGCCTTTGGATGGAGATTTACTGCTGATCACAGAACCGTGCTTCACTGAAAGATACGCATGACAATCGCAGCTTCTGTCGAATCGCAATCTCGATTCCATTTCGATTTATCGTGCAGCCCTACCCCAGACCACCTTTTGATGAGAACTCCAAATGAACTGAACTTTGATGTCAAATGGCACAAAAAGCCGTGGTGTGAAAGTGTCCTTAATGAAGCGCTATCAATGTGAGGGGGCTTAGAGATAAACACAACTCTGTGGTTGTAGGCTTTTTAGTTATGTTATCTGACTGTTGGCGCATGCTGAAAGGCTGTGTGTTTGGCTATACGTACATGATGAGCATTCGTGTCAAAAATAAAGAATACTTTGGGCATAATGACCAAAGACTGCCTCACAATGAAAGAAATCTTTTACAATTCTCGAAGTTTATCACAAATGCTGCCAAAATCATACACTTTAGACCAAACGTTTGTTCAATGTCTTGGTCCAAATCTGACATTCCCTCTGCCCCCACTAGTCTCTTTTCACATTGTTCTTTTGATTCCAAACCCCAGTTTGTTGGCGTCATCAGACGTAACTTTTCTTCCATTTTTATTCATGTTTTTGTCAGTGAATTCAGTACCAAATCTTTAAACACATGAAACAGCACTTGCATTAGTAGCTCACTTCCGTGACTTGATTGTGTTCCTATCAACTGTGTGTGAACTGTACCTCTAGTACAAATAATAATTATTAGTACAAATAATTTACACCCCAGACCACCTTTTGAAAAGAACTTGAATGGCGTTTATAACTAAATGAACCGAACTCTGACGTCAAATGGCACCAAAAGCTGTGGTGTGAAAGTGTCCTTAATGAAGCGCTATCTATTCCACCATAAGTGCTGTGGTTGTAGGCTCTTTATTCAGGCGGCAACTATATCTCTCTCTCCCTCCATCCCTCTTTCCCTGACACGCACAGAGCTCATTAGCACATGGAGTGCTCGCAGCCCTCGCCGAATGTGACCCTGCCTAATTGTGCAGCAGGTTCATTTGCTCGCCCTGCATGATGTAGTGATTGCTTATTTGTTCTCCTCAGGGCTTCTCTCGCACATTAAAATGGTTGACTCATTTCATTCAGGGTACATTTACCGAGCCTTATTTGATAAGCTCATGCCCAAGGTACCCACATCCATCTTATTCTCATGCTCTAAAGTTATAATATCTACCACTGTGGATTATTATTCATACAGCTGATTGTTTCCTCGGTTAATTATCTGTGTTTGAATAATTTTGCATGCGCGAGCCTGTTTATCCTTCCGGAATTAAGCAGCGCAAAAGGTCTCGCATTAGCCATGCCGCTGAAGTC